ATTATATACCTATTTCATAAGGTGTTAGCACGGTTAATTAAAATAGATGTAGATAACCATGATCAATTTAAGTTGAGATAATTAACAGTGGAAATTTACCTTGCTGGAATGCAGAGAGATAAATTTCGCTGCTCAGAAAAAAGCTAAGGTACAAAGTGAAGATTGTTCAAATGTTTATAAAGGAACAGAAGAGCCCAAAAATCCAAATTGGCACAAATAAAAAATGATAGTTCTGGTCGTTTAGTATAGCAACTCAGTGGTTTCCAAGACTTCACTATTAGACCAACGCCGTGCGGCTACATTATCAGAGATCATCACGACTTTTCTACTAAACAAAGATATTTACTAATGGGAGCTGGTTAGTATTGCAAGCTTTCGCTTAAATTAGCTTTTCCACCCGAGAGCAGTTTACAATCTTAACTCATAGAGGTTTGACTGTCAATAAGAACAGAGCATAGCTCCTCGTGTGAAGCTACACCTTACCTAGTACGGCTTCCAGACCACTTTGCATCAGAATATCAACAGATGAGACCAGTGCATGCAAGCACACAGTTAGACGATAAATCTGACTTTCCTTGCTGTCAGCATCTCCTTCCTTTACAGACATTTGGGCTTGTTTCAAAACGAATCTGGTATAGTCTGGATTTAAGTTTGATAACGTCTTGGTCTGTAGAATAACTCCATTTCCTTGAAGCCTGGACAGGAGCGGTTTTACGCGTCCTAACAGCTCGTCTAAAACTTCCTGAAACTCACCCGAAAGATCAACAGTTATAGTTTGGTCTTGACACTTCGAATCTGTTGTTTGTTTAGCGGAATTAGTTTTGTCGCCATCGAAGTCCTGTGCACTTGTGTCTGCAGTAAAAACTGACGGCCGAACCTTTGCCGCCCTGACCACTTTTTCTAAAACAAAGAAATAAGCTTTTAATGGTTGCATAGAATACAGTTATTTTTCTTGCGCTTGTGCTTGCGTCGCTAGTGAAAACGAGGCTTAACCCAGGATTAAAAGTTAACCGAAGTATTAGTTTTCCCCCGCTCATGTTTTTGTGTAATTTGAGACCAAAGATCAAAACTGAAAGACAAACAATATATATAGAAAACCTCACCAAAAAGTTACAAAACTGAAATCAAAATTCTTGCTAATCCTGGGTTAGCTTAGTCGGACTTGGAACAATCCGGCCCTGAATTCCAGTTGAACCCCCTACTAAAATGGCTCGGCACGTGGTAACTCTTATATTTCGCTTAAAATTAATTTATTGTGAATAGAACGAAAACAAAATGTGCTAAACACAATAAGAATAATTTAAATGCAGATTTAAGCAGTTTATGGATCATTCATAAATTAATTTTCGGTTATAAGTTATATGCAACTTTATATATACTGATTGTAATAGTTCTCTCTTACTAGGTGGAGTGCATAGGCCATTCTTCGATGACTTCAAGGAGTCCGCTTTACCGTCCCTCAGTAAAAAGAAGTCTTCAATGCCACCAAAAGTTTGCGTAAAGGCAGAGGGTGTTGTTCTTTTTGGAAGTGAAAGTTTCTTTTGATCTTTGTACCCTGAGTCACCTTGTATCGCAATTTGACTGGTGGTCGTCGAACATGCGACCACGTTTGCTGGACTTTTAGGCGTGTTCAAAGCAACAGGTAAACTATTCCAGTTCTCGCCAGCGGCACACGTTTGCTTTCTTTCAATACATGTACCTTAAGAAGAAAGAACACCAATCACACGAGAATTCAATTTAAACGGAAATTTATTTCAGGACATTCAATCCTGTGCTCGCACCATGAACTCTGTTTAATTGTTTAGTTTAGTTGGAAGGGAGATGACCTATATAGTTGAGGAGTTTATTTCTCAAAAGTTTTGTGCTTTACAATGTATTAATATTGAAAGAAGCAAACTGACGATGATGACACTTGGGACTTCAAAGATTGGCAAAGGCACAACAATTTTATAAGGTTTATCTTCCTGTTACCTGATTGTTTTTCTGCTTGACTTTCAGAAAGGGATACTCCTCTCGATAAACCTCCAGAAGTGTCATCGTCTAGAAAAAAGAGATAAAAAGTGAATTATAGATAAGATACATGCGTATGGTGCACTCGTATAGTTGCAGAATAAGTAAAGCTCACTGCGGTCCTAATTGACTTAACCCATTGCCCGGTCATTAGGGACTCTCGTGTTGACCTCAATTGAGCCACAAACCAATTGTAACTTAGAGAACGTTTAAATAATCGTCCCTCTCCAGCTTGTGCCCTTAACGCGTACTCAGTCTCAGCTCTGGCTAAGTGTAATTCGAGGTAGCTTACTACGGCGCTTACTACAGACCAAGGAGCCCGCGCAACGATTCCCTGCCAGACGTCAGTATTAGTCGCGCAGGCAAACAAGAATGCAGGTAGCCCTGTGAAAAAACGAATATGATAATGATAATGATAATGATAATATTTATACAGGGGGCGATCTCACATAAAGTAGTTTTCAGAACGGCCCTGTAAAAGCACTTGAAACGCGTTAAACAGCTCTGGAGCCTGTTTCTCGAAAGTCCCGGAAACTTTTCGGGCCCGAAAAGCCATTTTTAGCTCATCTGCATCTAAAAACGGAGAAGCGTATACGCTTGAAACTTCTTGTATGAAGAGAACCACTGATCGTGTTAAGAATATGTAAATATGTGAATAAAACAGCTCTGTAATCCAGATATTGCTATGGCTTTCCGGGTGCGAAAAATTTTTGGGACCTTCGAGAAACGGGCCTCTGGATCGAAGCTACTTTAAGGGACGATGATGTTTCTGGCTAAAAATATGTTTTCATTGGGATTGATTTTTGCCATTACACTGAAACCCGTTAAACCGTAGACGCTAAGATATGTCTAGCTTGAATTGCTGAATTAAGAAGCAAGAAAAAAACCGAAAGAATAAACCGCAAAAAGCAAATGATTTAGTTTGGCGCTTTCGACCAACCAGTGAGTAAACAGAACAGGCACTGGATTTTCTGCATTGTCTTACTTTCAAAAACTTAACGTCCTAACCGTGAATGCCGCTTTTTTGAAACTTTTCCCTTGAATATGATAAGGTTTTGTGTCTGTCGAGTTGTCCAGCCTGTTCTTCTTTGTCTTTGCTCCATGATGAAAGCCTGTGCAGGTTTTTCCGGCAGTTCTCCATTTCTATTGTTGACATAGCTAGTGGGTTCCACGGTATTCCCAACTCTAGCTTTCCGTCCAAACATTCTTTTGATAAAATTAGCTTCTTTATTGCCAGCTGGACTAAAGTCGTGGAGTGACCTTTTTTCTTCTCTGACGACGTACTAGGCACTACAAAAAAGAAAAAAAAGGCAAGGTGTTTTCATTTCAGAGAAGATATGACTAAGGCGCTCCAGGGGGCGGTAAGATGAGAGACCCTGGGAACGAGGTTGCGCTGCCTAAAGTATGTTGAATTAAAATATTGCATTTGTGAAAAAAACTATGTTCTTAATCTATCGACAACCTGTGATATTGTGCCACGGTTCATGCTCTATGGGGGTGGGGATATTTAGCCCCCCAAATCTTGAAGGAGACGCACTCCTGGCTTCTATTATTGAACGATCTTTGTGAGCCAGCAAACGTGAGCAAAAGCAGTTGGAAAACTCCGCGTTTTATTTCTTGACCTTTCGCTTCAGACTTTCACCTCGACGTATCCTGAGACTCAATATGCGTTTGTATGCACCACGTCTCTACGTTTCGCTTCAAAATTCTCTGAACTTAAGAACTTTTTAGCTACATACTGAACTAAAATACCCAGTTAAGTCAAAAATACTTGTTCATAAAAATGTCACGTGCGCGCGAAACTTGTTACATTTATCGAATTCTATCAGACTGAACCTGAACTCGGCTTGCTCAATTGTTCGAATTCATGTACTAACAAGCGCTGTTTTCATTTTTTGTCGGCACGTACACAAGACACGTCACCAGTCGCCGACATATTTTAAGAGTGATTTTCACCTGAGTGTTGAACGCAATTCGCATTTGGTTTGTTTTTAGCATTGCACCCTTAAGCGTGTGGTATAAGAAAAAAAACAATAGTGCTACTTTGCCATCCAATCAGAAATAAAACTAAAATCAGTTGTGGCTCGCTCGCACTCGTTTTCCCGCGCTTCGCGTCAGCTATATGTCTTTGACTCAAGTTTTGACTGGTTCACTGGATTGTCTGTATTTATCCTTTGCGGTTAAACCAGAATGATTTACAAGGCACTTATTTGAAACCTGCTTTGCTCTTGAATCAACAATACAATTTTCCTCACTGTTATTGGTGGATACTCTTAACAGTATAGCTTGACTATCGTATATTTTCTCAACCTTCTGCAAGTTATATGTGTAAGACTCACCAGGGAGAACCATCGCCAAATGCTCACTAAAGAGTAACTTTTCGTTTTCCCATATGTTTTGAACACACTGCTTTATCTTGCTTGGGGTCAGTGGTGGACTAGAACAAAATTCATTTGTTAAATGCGATTCTCAAACTTATAATTCACTAAGTTTAAACAAAGGAAATCATGACCGTGACAGTGTTTGTGTATCTGATCTTAATTAGCATTGATTTTTACGATTTTGTTTCACCGTTTTCTCCTTAGTTTTAGTTTCATTTCAGAAGATACATCAATCACTCAAGACAGCGTTTGGCCACACTTCCAATAAACCTCGAAGTTCGTCAAAAATACTCCGCTGCGCTCTCTTCTCGGTGTTTGGAAATGTGGTCAAACACGGTCTTTCGTGTTTGATATATTACTTAAAAGCGAAAGGTGTCATGCACAGTCACAGTCGTACTTCAAAGAAATGATTTCGTCACAAAAGGCTGAAAACAGTTTCCTGGGATAGTTCGAAAGAAAAGATAATTAAAAGGTGGATCAAAAGTTAATTCTTGATCAGAATTATCCAACTCTGTATAACGGCGAGGAATTGATGTCTTCGAGTATTTTTCAAGAGACAAGACTTAGCGAAATGTTTTAATCCGTTCACTGGTATTTGAGTCCAATAACAGTTAGAGCGATTTTCAATTGAGTGTCGTAAAACCCAAAAGAGAATCAATTACTCACCAATTAGACTACTCAGGCAAGGTCAAACCGTAGTAAAACCAAATCCAAAACCAAAGTAATTGTCTGGTTACTTTCGACACCCAAATGAAGTGAAAACCGCTCTATGATAACAGCTAAATAAAGTTCTCAGTTAACTGATTAGTACCAGTTGATTTTCAGCTTGTTTGTAACATGTTCTATAAGACAACATACCTGTTTATCTCTGGCGATTGTTCAAAACTTTCCAAACTACTGATGAACTTCTTACTCATGCCGTGGTCAGCTGGGACAGTTGGAAGATGGGCTGGCGATTCCAATAACTGCTGTTCTTTCAGTAGATTGGAAGTACTTCGTTCATCCCCTTAACATGGAGAACTGGTTCAATTTGTGGCTCAACTTAATAAGGCAAAGTTGAACCCAAACGTTTAAGAGGTTAGCAATAGACTATTTTACAGTTGTCTGTTCAATGACTTGGCCTTTGAATGGCAGCGAGGCTACAGGTGACCTTGTTTTGATAAAGACCTCACAGCTGTTGTTGTGTAAATCAAGTTGTTCTTATGCTAACTAGATGTCATATAAATGAGAAGAGCAGAGAAGTCTGCATCAAAGCAAGGCCACCTCCAGCCTCGCTTGCATTCATAGGCTAAGTAACTAAGCATACAACTGTAAAATGGCCTATTTACTGCGGTTTGCACAGGGAAAAAGCAATCCGAAACACTGCTGCAGAAACTCAGTCTGGACGCTAGCCCTTTGAAGGCTTAAATTATAGCTTTTTGAGGTCACTCTTTTGAACCCAATTTGAGACGTGCGGGTAACACTAATCACGGGATGAAATTGTTTGCAAAACATAATGCGGCTTATACGGTGGATTACATTATCCCTACCTTCTCAAAATTATTAATATCAATTTTATACAAAGGAAATCATGACCATGAAGGTGT